AATGACTCTCTAAAAAAGATAAATGACTAGTTGTCTGCAAGGAGTATAAATCCTTCCATTCCTCACCATCCAGTCAGAACTGAAGAAGCTTCTTGGATGAGATATCTTCAAAGAAAAACAAGAAAGTCCAGTTGCCGCATGAAAAAGCAACTTTGGGATAACTATGACCTGAGAATCTCCATAGAAACTCAAAGTAACAAACATAACCAACATATCTTCCTCCTCCTATTTTCCCCACAACAACAACCCTGTGAGGAGGGTTGGGCTGAGAGAAAGAGAGTGGGCCAAAGTCATGGCAAACTCGCAGTCAAAAAACAAAATAAGTTTGCTTATTCCCTTGGCATCAGTTTCTTTGGAAAGCAATCGCCACTGTAGAAGAATCGCCACTGCTAACTTAATAGCCTCCGTTAAAATATTCTAGGTAGTTGTAATAGTTACAATTTCATTAAAATATATTTAATATGAACTATACAGATCTGATTAGTTTGACTATGTATCCCCATTCTTTTGTTCCTTTTCAAGATAAGAATGTAGAAAAGGAGTGAGAAATAAGAATAAAGCCATGAAATGACAAAAAAGAATTTGAGACATAACTAAAATTAATTTATATCACCACAATTCACTGTACCCGTTCTTCTTTCTCTTGTTTCATACGTTTGACAATCAGATCCTCATTCATTATTTCTGACAAAACCACATGAATGTTCTTCTTTTGTATTGATCAGTTATTTTTGTAACATTCATTCAAAAACTGTTCTTTCATTAGCTTATCTCATTTTACCACACATAAGTATCCCATTTCCACTCTACCAGCCTACTTTATGTTTCTCCTGACATTCCCAATTCTCACTTCTATGAGGGAGGAGGTAGGGAGAGAAAATTACTAAATTTCAAATAAAATTAATTCCTTTTTTAAAAAAAAACTATGTATTCGTCAGTACAATTTTATCAACATTTGAATGTTTTTAAATTTCTCATCTTTGGTCCCATTTTTAATAATCATGTATTTGTATACAGTCTCATGTACTTACTCTAGTGTTTCATTGTTAATATATAACTGGCAATTGTGCACTTCATTCTTCCTTTCAAACATGGGGGCCTTGATCTTTGATAGATTATAATAATGTTCAAATACAAACAGTCTATCTAAACTGTGAGCTTAGAAGCCATTGAGGCACAGTGGTTAGAAGCAGTATTGTAGGCTAACTCTGCCCACAGCCATGGGTTCAATCCTGACTGATTCAGGGTTGACTCAGCCTTTCATCCTTCTGAGATTGATAAAATGAAGAGCCAGATTGTTGGGGGCAATATGCTGACATTGTAAACCTCTTAGAGCAGTGGTTCTCAACCTTTTTAATGCCACAACCCCCAACTGGTCGTAAGTCGAGGACTAGTCAACTGGTCGTAAGTCGAGGACTACTCAACTGGTGCAGCACCGTTTGCAGAATGGGACTTTTGGTGGGCTCAGCAGGGCAGAGACAGCCTGGACAATTCCTATTGGCTTTTGAAAGCCAATAGAATTAGACTCTATTCAAGAGAGTCTATTCTATTGGCTTTCAAAAGCCAATAGAATAAAAAGGAGTAGCACAGCTAAGGAAAAGGGGGGGAAATGGCGGACTGCGTTGTTTGGCGACCCCTATAAAATGGTCGTTCGACCCCAAATGGGGTCCCGACCCACAGGTTGAGAACCACTGTCTTAGAGAGTACTATAAAGCACTGTAGAGCAGTATATAAGTGTTGCTGTTATTGCTAACATTTGCTGGAAATTATTCAGATTCTTAGCCAACAACACAGCATCATATGTACACATAAGTATGCATGTTGATATCTTTCATTTATTTGTTTGCTTGCTGGGTTTTTTATCTATATTTTTTGTCTATCTCATGATATAGCAACTCTGAGAGACTTACAATATAATAAAAAAGTAAAAAAGATAATACAAAACTATTAAAATGAAGAGAATTAAATAGAAAACTAAAAACCTAGAGGATGGCTAACAAGGGGATAGGCATCTTTCCTCTTCCCCGTCAGCCACCCACAACATAGCACGCCCCTATCAAGGCCCGAGGCCAGCCAGCAGAGCCAGGTTGTGTTCACATTTTACCACAAGCATCCCTTATACAAGTATTGAGTGCTTACTTTAACTGATTATTGGCCTTTTACATAAAATATAAGAATATAATATGACAACAAGCACACACTGTTACTGCATCCTATTGTATATTCTACTTTCATTCTACTTTTTTTTTACTTATTTCCTTTCTGTCTATTTTCTCAAGGATCTTCAGAATTTGACTTCTTAAAAATGTTAAATATTAACAACAGATCTGAAATTAAAGCTAGTCCATCAAAAAATGTATTGGACTCCATCTGATACTTTATTTGAAAGGATGCTCATCAGATTTTTTTTGTTGTTGGAAGTATAAAAAAATTGACATTTCACAGACCAGTATGGATATGGTAATGTGATCGTTTGGTACCTTTTGGAGATACTATGTTAATGTATATAAGCAAATTTGTAGTAAAATCTTTAAATGTTAAAGATGTTGATGTAATGTTGAACTACATACCAAAGTTTTGAAATTTGACTATTTATCAGGAATTATTGTGGTATCAAATATGGGAGTAACTAAAAGGATTATATTGAGAAATTGGGAAATGTTGTATTATTTCAGTGTTAAGGAATAGTTGTTGGAAATGTGATCTGTTTTGGAAAAGCCAAATTTTTCATCTAACCAAACGATATAGCAATATGTATTATTATACTATGACAAATCTTGTGATATTTTACAATAATAGTTTGTACTGTTCATATTATAAAATATAGAATAACAGGGTTGAAAGGGACCTTGAAGGTCTTCTAGTCCAACCCACTGCTCAAGCAGGAGACACTATACCATTCTTGAAAAATGGCTGTCCAATCACTTTTTAAAATCTCCAGTTATGGAGCACCCACAACTTCTGGAGGCAAGCCATTCCACTGATAAATTGTTCTCACTATCAGGAAATTTCTGCTCAATTTTGGTAAGTTTCCGTCCATTACTTCTCATTCTGCCTTCGGAGGTGTTATTGTAGAATAAGTCAACCCTCTCTTTGTGACAGCCTCTCAAATATTGGAAAACTGCTGTCATGTTACCCTTAGTCCTTCTCTTTGTTAGACTAGAGATATCCTATTACTACAGCCATTCATCATATGTTTTAGCCTCCAGTCCACTAATCATATTTGTTGTTCTTCTCTGCACGCTTTCTAGAGTCTCAACATCTTTTTTGTATCGTGCTGACCAAAACCGGACATAGTATTCCAAGCGTGGTCTTACCAAAGCATAATAAAGTGTTACCTAAGCTTCTTGTGATTTTCATTCTATCCCTCTGTTGATGCAGCCTAGCACTGACTTTTTCGGTAGCTGCAGCACACTGTTGGCTCATATTTAAGCAATCCCTCTTACAGTTTGTTTGTTTATAAAATTTATTGGCCACCCATCTTACCATAGGGTAACTCTGGGTGGCTTACAGTTACATATACAGTTAAAACATAAAAAGTTTAAATGAGATATTAAAACAAAGACACATGGGGAGGGCGGAGGGAGTGGGGGAGGTGAGGTCTGTTATTACTCAATCAACCACCTCCATTGTGCTGTTCCCCCACTGGGGCCCAGGCCAACTGGCAGAGCCACGTCTTTAAGCCATTATGAAAAGATAGGAGAATTTGTGCCAACCTCACATCAGGGGGCAAGATGTCCCAGAGGGCAGGAGCAACAGCAGGGAAGGTCCTCCTGGATCCCGCCAGCCGGAATAATCAGGCTGATGGGACTCGCAACATGCCTCCTCTGCCAGCACGAGTGATACGGGCCAATCCCAGTGGGGTGAGACAGTCCCTCAAGTAACCTGGATCACCAACACCTTGAATTGCAACTGGAAGCAGACTAGTAATCAATGCAGCTCGCGGAGCAGTGGTGTTATAAGGGCCATTCTTGGGGGCCCCAAAACTACCTGCGCTGTTGCACTCTGCACCAGCTATAGCTTTCGAATGTTCTTCAAGGGTAGCCCCATGTACAGTGCATTACAATAGTCCAGCCATGAAATGGCTAGGGGCCGAACACAGGGAGTCCTGATCCAGGACAGCCCTCAACTGGCACACAACATGAAGTTGTGCAAAAACTTTCCTAGCTGCGACTGCCATCTGCTCCTCAAACAGGAGTTACAAGTCCAGGAGAACCCCCAAGTTGCAGAGTCAAAGATGGCAAAGTTGAGGATCCCAGGGCTCTGCATCCTCAAAGCCATTCGGTCTTGCCAGGGTTCAGTTAAAGCCTGTTATCCCCCATCTAGGCCCCCACAGTCTCCAGGCATCACGGCAGCCACAGTATCACTTGGGTCACCAAGAATGTAAATACAATATATCATCAGCATACAATATATACCTCAACCTCTGGTGATGGATGATCTCACCCAGCAATTTCATATAGATATTGAAAAGGAGTGGAAAAGTACCGAGCCCTGCAGTACATCACAATTACTGCTGTTGAGCCATGTACCTCCTCTATTGGTTTTCTTCCTGTGAAAAACTTTACTTTTCTCACCATTGAATTGCATTTTGTTGGATAGGCACAGTCTTCAAGTCTGTCAAAATTCCTCTGGATCTTGAGTCTGTCTTCTAAAATATTGACTATTTCTTCCAGCTTAAATCATTTATGGGGATGTTGAAGAGTACTGGCCCTAAGACATTTGACTTATATTATATAAGACAAATATTATAGTAGTGTATTCATTATAAACCATTGGCTATTGATAAGTGTAAAATATAAGATATATCTTTTTCTTCTTAGTTTGTATTTTTATTTTGAGGCTATCTCTTCTGTTTTTTAAAGTTTTGTGAATTGTATATGCAAAAAATAAATAATGTTTGTATGTGTGTGTGTGTGTGTGTGTGTGTGAGAGAGAGAGAGAGAGAGAGAGAGAGAGAGAGAGAGAGAAAGAGAGATTTCTAAAAGAAATAACCTGGTCTTTACAGGGTATATGTGTATAGAGATCATCCCCCTTGAAATGATACATATCACCTGCAATATTTATATATCTGTCCAAGTTAATGTATATTTTAAAAATTGTTGCCCATTCTCAATTTAATATTATTAAATATTAACTCAATTCTGACATTCATAAACACAATCTCATTGATACAACTTAATTCAGTATCACCTGTGCCAAGTAATAGGGTACAGCCTTTTGGAATAATTGTACAGCCTAGGGATAGTGGCAGGTAGCACTTTTTCTAAAAGAAGCATAGCACCTGTCTCTAATTATACTTGTTGCAGCCTCTAAAAACTTTGACCCTCTTCATCTACAATGGTAGCCTCCATAGAAAAGTGTTCTCTGAGATTGTCCTTGAGAATGAACAGGAAATTCAGCTGACTTAGTGGCACATCTATTTGTAAATTGGGCAGCCATATAAATTGACGAAATAAAGAAACAAAACTGAATTGGAGTGCCTTGTGATTGGTTTAGCCATATCAGGACTCTTCATCTTTTGCCAGGGAGTTCTTTCAAGTCTCCAGAATCTTCAATTCTATGGAATCGAAAGATCTGGCAGCTTAAAACTATATTTTACTGTTGCTCTGCCATCCTTCCAGCCCAGGCAAGTGATCCCCATGCTGGGAGATGGCAGATGAAAAGGGATAACTAGCTGTTTTCCCACCAGGTTCAGTCCCACAGATCACCTGTAGCAGGATTAGAAATGGAGAGCCTTTGAAAGAGCCAGCTCTCCCAGACCAAGCCTAACAGGTGAAGAAGGAGAACCAGCTTTTCCTCTCCAGGTTGCCAAGTAGGAAACTGGTAGTTAGGAAAGAACCAGATTTTTTTTCTTCTCTTACTGCCAACTGTCCCTGTGTTGGTAACCTATATATTGATCTCCTTGTGAACTTGAATACCATTTGACCAGTATTGGGGTGTACCATTTGGTAACAGATAAAGGTATTGGTCTCCCATCCTTCAATGCCTGTCAGCTGAACTAGTCCCTATTACAAAGCCTTAGGAATCCTTCATAAATCTTTCACATGAGTAGAGATCCTGCCATTGTTTCTTAGAACAGGGGTGGATAGATTCCAGTATTTCCATTATGTCAATCTTTTGTAGATTTTATATTCTCTTCCTGGGATCTTTCTATCTAACTAAAATAGCACAGTTCTGTTTTCCCTCAAGCCATCATTTTCTATATGTGTGCATGCATTTTCTCTTTCTTCCCTCTCTAAATCATTTCTGTTTCAATAATTAGCTTAAAACAGCCCTTATTAATCTCAGTTTCTGCCTTATCTCATGTGCAGTCTTGTTGAAGGCATAATGTAATGAAATTTTCCCTATTTAAATTCAATCCATTTTTACTAATGGAGCATATGACCAGAGGTTGTAACCTCAAGCATTCAGACTTGTATAGTTACTCAGAGCTTAATTTGTCCAATCTCTTAATTTCTGACATATGCACAGACACGCAAGTACATACGTGTTTGCTTCGGCTAGTAAGTAGGAGGTTGTGATTCCTGTTCTCAAAACAAATTACTACTGTAGTTCTTGAAACTTCTGAACAATTATATATGAAAAGAAATGACTAAGAAATTAGCATTTCTCCTCAACAGACTCTGCTTTTTGTTTTAAAAGGCTGTTCTGGATCATTCTTTCCATTAGGACCTGGATAGGACGTTTCCCTTTGAAAACATTTGGAGTTTATATGGATACTCCACATTGATGAACTTTTTACAGCTTTAATTTTATTTAGGCAGTTTTGTTTTTTTTTAAGAGAGAAGGAGGAAGAGAGCTTTTATCTTCATAAAGGACTGGCTTGTGATGAAGTCATGCTGCTATTTTTCATATGCCAGGGAACAAGTTCCCTGTTTGGGGAGGAGCTGCAGAGTAATTAAATGATTCACCAGTTTCTGTAGTGAGCTGCCTTCCTTGAAACTTAGTTTTATAACTTTCAGGCATCATAGGTGGATGAGCTTTCGGCAGAGCCAGTTGTAGGCATGTTGGTGCTTTGTCCAAGTCATGCATTGGGAACAAGTCTTGCGACTCAGGAAAGCCAAGGTAGGCTAGAAAAGTAAGAATGATTTCTTTGCTAGAAAATAGATGAGTAAATTACATTTTACTTACATGTATGAGTTCTTTACTGGTTAAGAACATCTATTAAAACCAGTTTTTTTTTACCATTTCCAATGCAGAATTTAAAATTTGTGTATACATCTTTACTTTGGAAAACACATATAAATTGTGTGGAGATTTTATTCTTGCTATAAACTGAAAGATTTTAACTCTGTAAGCTAACTATAGAGAGTATACTATATATAGTCTCTGAAACTGATTCGTTACACCTGAGATAGGCATCTTGGTCCCTTCCAAATGTTTGGAATCAATTCATATCCCAGCTAGTGTAGCCAGTGGCAAAAGATATTGGGTGTTGTAGTCTACAACATTTGGAAGATAATACATTGTCTGTCTCTGCTTTACACTGTTGTTTGAACTCTCTTTTCAATTTTTACCATTTCCACAGGAATCCTAGCTGAAGTTACTAAGGTGTGTTTCTAAACAATTTTTTGTTGAATTGTGGCTCCTAATGTGTTATCACAATAGGGCATATAGCAAGCAATCATAATTGTATATTTATAAGGGATTGTGACATACATAGTCTAAGTTTAACTGATAGACCTAATTGTTTTGAAATTTAAGTTTACTCTATTCACAAAACAAAAATGTATGGCAGAGTACTCCGTAATGTCTATCCATATTTCTTTATCATTTTCTTTACGGATGCTAACAGGCCTGTTGAAATTTAGTGACTTTTTCACTTGCCTTTTTAAGATACCCAATTTGTTTGCATTTTTTATGACATTGCCATTATCAAATCAGACTTTCATGTTCATTTTTTAATTCTTTTTCCAGATCGAACGATTAGATGTAAGTAGCCTAGCACAAACAACTAACGCAGTGGCAACAAGCACAGACTGCAGTATCAATGCAGATTCTGTTGATGGAACACCAGATCCACAACGCACAAAAGTGGCCATCACTCATCTGCAGCAGAAAATACTGAAACTCACAGAGCAAATCAAAATAGAGCAAACAGCCCGGGATGACAATGTAGCCGAATATCTGAAATTAGCCAATAATGCTGACAAGCAGCAGAGTGCCCGGATTAAGCAGGTGTTTGAGAAAAAGAACCAGAAGTCATCCCAGACAATCCTCCAGCTGCAGAAGAAGCTAGAGCACTATCATCGGAAGCTGCGGGAGATTGAACAGAATGGTATTCATCGACAGCCCAAAGATGTCTTGAGGGACATGCACCAGGGGCTAAAGGATGTAGGAGCAAAAGTCACTGGCTTCAGTGAAGGAGTAGTAGATAGCGTTAAAGGTGGATTTTCCAGCTTTTCCCAGGCAACTCATTCGGCAGCTGGAGCCGTTGCTTCTAAACCTCGGGAAATTGCATCGCTCATTAGAAACAAGTTTGGAAGTGCCGACAATATTGCTAATCTGAAGGATGCTTTGGAAGAAAGTCAAGAAGACGGAACCGGAGGAAAGACTTTAGGTGTTCATAACTTTCAGTCGAGCCCAAAATATGGCAGTGAGGAAGACTGTTCCAGTGCTACATCAGGCTCAGTGGGAGCCAATAGCACTGCAGGAGTCCAGTTGGGAGCACCAAGCTCCAGATCAAACACTCTGGAAATGCAAAGCTCAGGGTTTGATGCGATGTTGCATGAGATTCAAGAGCTCAGAGAGGTTCAAGTACGACTGGAGGAATCCTTTGAAGATCTCAGAGTTCACTACCAGCGAGATTATTCCTTGATAATGCAGGCTCTACAGGAAGAAAAATACCGGTGAGCACTTGGCAGTCCAGTCTTTCACTACTAATGTTAATATTAAGGCAGATTCATGATTGTTTGGATGCCAGCACTCATTTACTATTGATAATCTTTGGGGTAGTAAACTTTAACAATTCATTTGCTTTATATGAATATATTTAATTTTAGCTTAAATATTTAAGTTTCCTTCCTTCCAAGTCAGCATGTCTGTCTTTTCTTCTTGTCATAATTTTTCAGTTCTGTGAATGTCTACACTAATTTTTAAAGTTGAGGTGGCTCTGGACCTATAGTTTCAAAATAGTCCCATAGTCCTAATCTTGTTGGATGATGCATGTTTAAGCACTGCCCTTTTGATTACAGTGTTTATAAATTACAGTAGGTGAATATGTTGCAGAAAAATTCCCTGTATAATTAGCATTAACACTGAGCTTGAAAAGTAGTTGTCACACAGTGTAGTATTGCTAGTGCTGGCTTATTATGCTCCCAAGCATTCCAAAAAGTATGTGTCTCTAAAAATACATCCTAACTCCAGTCACACATAATGTTGAAGTATAATTTGTTTTGCATTAGAAACAAAACTGTAATGCAAGATGAATTTGGTATAGTTTTATGTAATCTAGAAAGTAGTTAGATCAGGCTTCATGGGAAGAAATAGATTATATATTTGTGATGTTGATATAAATCTAAATGTTGATATTTTGTCAGTTCTTCCTTGTACCTCCAAAGGTTGTGCTTATGAGTCTTGACAATCCTGGTGCTATTTACAGATCTTGAAGGAAAGAATGTAAATAGTTATACTCTCTGTTGTGGTTGTAACTTTAAAATTAGGCTATAATCTTATTATACATAATTGTATTTTACTGTTATCCTTAAAAACAAGAAATGTTTAATATGTTTAATATGATTAAATTAACATGTCTAAAATGGCAGTCTTGAATTGATAACATTTAGGATTGAAGAAAGTATAGAGACACTCAATCTATTTAAGAACTGACAAAATACTAATCTTACTACAACTTATGCAGATATTAATCATTTATAATATCAATACATCTTTTATTTAACTCTCAAAGTGGAGTTGCAGCCTTAAATTGTTTTTAATATTTTTTAAACTCTTTAGCAGTTTTGGGAAAACATGTAATTTAATAAATGCCAAAAGTATTATACAGCCAAAAGGTACAATTGCATGCTGTCAGATAATTAAATGAAGCATATTTGAATTGACAGAAAACATTTAATTAGAAGACTTTATTTGAAAAATACAGAATCAGAAAGGGGAGACAAATAATTAGAAGATAGCAAATGAGAGAAGATGAACTAGTTTTTGTTCTTTGAACGTGGAACAATGACGATTTCATTTTGCTCAATAGAAGAATCAATCTTTGGGGATCTAAAACTTTTCCATAACTTTATTTTTACACACACGCGCGCGCGCGCACACACACACACACACACACACACACACGATATGCCATGTAGCCATTTGTTCTGATATCCTCTGAGCTGAGAAATTCAGATCTCTGAGAACAGAATGGAGAGTTGCAGATCTATGTCAAACAGATATTTTTTTACAACATCACTCATTAAGGAGTTTTTAATTAAACATTTTACCAATTTCATGGAAAGACTTGTGATATTTTTAAAATAGTATAAATTACAATTTCCTTTATCATTTTTCCCAAGTCCCTTGACAATTAGATCTTATGCACAAATCCCCATTCCCCCAAAGAATTGCAGATAAATCAAGAACATTATATTAAAAAATTTCATATTAGCTAGTATTGAAATAAAATGAAAAGCAGTATGCATAAGCCTGCAAATAAAACCACTGTTGGAAATCAAATTAGCAGTCAAATTTTTCTTCTCGTTCTAATATACCAGCCAAATAAGTCTACTGAAAAGTCAGACTCCTGTTGAGGACTCCCCCCCCCTTTAATAAGGTCATTTGTTTATTTTACATCAACTGTGTTTGTCATTCTCTATTTCTCTGTGGCGATTTTTGTTCTTGGTCCTTTCATGGTTTGTGTTCACTAGAACTTGATATTCCTAGAGTTGTCTCTCCAGTTCTGACTCTTCTCCTTCTTTCCTCCTCCACACTTTTTTCAGGATGAAATTATTTGATAAATCCTCTGTTGTAATGTAACAAAGAGTTAAAGCTTGAGCAAAAGCTCTGCTGGTTTTCTATTGGACATTTGATATGGCCTCATTGTTGAGAGAGAGTAGCCACACCTTTCTCTTTGGAAATCCAGTTCTGTATTCACCCCTGTTCTTTTTACAATGGCAGCCTTATCAGCACAATCAGATTCCAAAACAAGCTTGCTTATCAGTTTTTAGAGCTGTAGCAGATGTTTGTTTGATAAAAAGGTTCTTTCTGTACTTTCATGAGAATTCTTGTCAAGTCTCCCTTGAAACTGTTCATGACTCAGTAGCTTTTTGTATACAAAGTGACTGAGAAATTCACATAACTAAGATGTACTTAGTTGTTTTGTTCTCAGTTTACTTCACATACTGCCTGTATCAACTGAAATTGTACATTTAATTTGCCTTTTTGGCAGATTGTGATTCCCTGGACTCGCATTTCATGGAGTTCAATCATAGCCCATTAAGAAATGGGCAATAAATTCTTCAGCATTCTTTTCACTGTTGCTATGTGGATACATAGACAAAAGTTTTGTTCAGCTATAATCTTACTTCCTGTTATACAGATTAAAAGTGTCCTTGGTACATTGAGCTTTTAGAATAGTTAGACGTTCAAGATTGCAGCCTCTGTTTCCAGCATATTATTATGTGCAAGCATTATTTGCCATTTTTTTTAATTAAAAAAATTCTGGGTATGATTGATGCCTGAAACTGGTGGTGCAAGACAACTGGTTGTAAAGTATTTTGATGATATGATCCCATTGATTTGCAGTCTTAAGTATCTATCTGATGACAAGGGAACTACTTGTATGATGGGAACTGTTGAAAAGTCAAAATAGCCAGGTTAATAAATTTTTAAAGCTTTAAAGGTTATATCCTATGTTCTGAATTTAGTCCAGAAAATATTGGCAATAGTACAGTGAGGGAAAAAACTATTTGATCACATGCTGATTTTGTACTTTTTTCCACTGACAAAGAAATAATTGGTCTATAATTTTAATGGTTGGTTTATTTTTAATAGTGAGAGACAGAATAACAATTTAAAAAATCAAAAAAAATGCATTTCAAAAAAGTTATAAATTGCTTTGTAACTCACCTCGTGGAGTTTCAATGATCATGAGAACGGTGAGGAATCAGCCCAGAACTACACGGGAGGATCTTGTCAATGATCTCAAGGCAACTGGAACCATAGTCACCCAAGAAAACAATTGGTAACACACTATGCCGGGAAGGACTGAAATCCTGCAGCACCCACAAGGTCCCCCTGGTCAAGAAAGCACATGTACAGGCCCATCTGAAGTTTGCCAATGAACATCTGAATGATTCAGAGAACTGGGTGAAAGTGTTGTAGTCAGATGAGACTAAAATCAAGCTCTTTGGCATCAACTCAACTCGCCATGTTTGGAGGAGGAGGAATGCTGCCTATGACCCCAAGAACACCATCCCCACCATCAAACATGGAGGTGGAAACATTATGCTTCAGGGATGTTTTTCTGCTAAGGCGACAGGACAACTTCACTGCATCAAACGGGCGATGGATGGGGCCATGTACCGTCAAATGTTGGGTGAGAACCTCCTTCCCTCAGCCAGGGCATTGAAAATGGGTCATGAATGGGTATTCCAGTATGCCAATGACCCAAAACACACAGCCAAGGCAACAAAGGAGTGGCTCAAGAAGAAGCACATTAAGGTCCTGGAGTTACCTAGCCAGTCTCCAGACCTTAATCCCATAGAAAATCTGTGGAGGGAGCTGAAGGTTCAAGCTGCCAAACGTCAGTCTTGAAATCTTAATGATTTGGACAGAATCTGCAAAGAGGGGGACAAAATCCCTCCTGAGATGTGTGCAAACCTGGTGGCCAACTACAAGAAAAGTCGGATCTCTGTGATTGCTAACAAGGGTTTTGCCACTAAGTACTACGTCATGTTTTGCGAAGGGGCGAAATACTTATTTCACTCATTAAAATGCAAATCAATTTATAACTTTTTTGAAATGTGTTTTTCTGGATTTTTGTTTTTGTTATCTCACTGTTAAAATAAATCTACCATTAAAATTATAGACTGATCATTTCTTTGTCAGTAGGCAAACGTACAAAATCAGCACGAGATCAAATAATTTTTCCCCTCACTGTAGAAGATGATCAAGATGTTGTTTGGTTTCTGGTACATGCTAATTGCTGCTGAGTAATTGAGGTCAGGGCCCTTAATTTGTGTGATGTCTCAAGATTTAATGCTCTTACCCCTTTTGTTTAAATCTGCATGAGGCTGCTGGATGAGGATATCCATTCATCAGGTATTACTGGTATGCTTATGGTATTAAGTTACATGTCTTATGTCAAGGTTCCGACTAATGAAACACTTCAAAGAACTTCCAGACATTTTATCCTAAACAGTTTTTTTATTTGTGTGACAAAATGTCGGCACGGCATGATGAAAGGATGCTAAGATCTGAAATCTCCACACACACACACCCCGAGCAGTTATTTTTGCTAGCATTTCCCCTCCCTTATTTTGCTCATGATTTACGTTGTCCAATTAGTTTGAAGGGCAAAGGTTATCTTCTGTTCCCTTTCCCGGGCTTTTCTCTCCTCCCTCACTCATCTGTATTAACTCTAAAAGTACTAGACAGTTCTCAATATTTTGTCAAAGCAAGAATATTCAATATTAGCAGCATTGACATCTGGCCCCCCTTACAAAAAGGACAGATCCTGTAATGTAAACAAAAGCATATGTTAATGACTAGTTTTCGATTTGTTTTGCTAGCATTTCCCCGCCCTTATTTTGCTCATGATTTACATTGTCCAATTAGTTTGAAGGGCAAAGGTTATCTTCTGTTCCCTTTCATGGGCTTTTCTCTCCCTCAGTCATCTGAATTAACT